AAAGTTAAATAAAAATACATAATTTTAATTAAAATTTCCAATGGTTGCAAGGTCTTTAGTTTCATGAACAATTCAAGCCACAAAACGCCTTAATTCTGCAAGCAACATAGTATCGAGTAAAAAATACTAGGGTTACACGATTTAATTGTATACATACAAAAGGGTGATGTTGAATTCAAACAACAAACTTTAAAATCAGTTGCATCATTAGTTGATAATAATAAGAATGATACCTAATTACCTAAATTTTTGAAAGTTTACTTTATTGGATCTATAGGATAAGATCATAATAGTATATGTATCATAATTGCAGAAGATTAGTTCAATTTTAAGAAATAAAGAGTACGAATTTGAATTTGAAATTGAAATTGAGCTAATTTAATTTAAGGTGCAGTGGTAGCACCGAAAGAGTACAATGCCAAAATGTATCTTGACTAACCTCTGTAACTTGGCCGACCACCACCATATGACGGACAGTTTCTAAACTCGATCTCGTTGTCATCAACGAGCTCAATCATTTCATGGTTCAGTTTTCTTATTTGCAATCATCAGAGATGGAAACTGATGAATGTCTCCAACAACGATGGATTGTTTGGCGAAACATGATGGCAATGAGCTAATCAATGATGATGTCGACGGAATTGGCCATATTTGATGAATTTAACTTGGTTGGTCTTTCTATATTCATCCATGACGCATACAAACAAAATGGACATTTTTTCTTGTTTGTAGTTTTAATGTTTTATCACATCAAGAAATTAACTTGGTACTTTCAACTTCTTTAAATCTTAGGGGTAATCATTGGCCACAACAAAGTTAACAAGAACTTATTTTAACTCCTACAAACTTTCGTACTTTTATCCTACATTGGCTCATGAGATTCCACTAAATGGTGGGATCGTGAACAGTTAGTTCACACCAATGTCGCTTTCATCATCATCAAGATGGGTTATGTCCTTATTGACATCAAAATGTTCATATGTTTCATCCAAAAATTCGATTGGTCTTCACAAATGTGTTTTAGAAAAGAACCATTATATGAATGGATGCTTGCAACTATAGTCTTTCTTTTTCGTAATCTATTGGCAAAATAGACAAAATATCCTCTTCATCGTCGTGCTCCACTTCATAATCATAACCAGGGTACTCATTCTAGAATTTCTTTTTACGCCTACATAAAGATTGCTTCTTGAAGCTACAATCAATTTCCTTTGGCGATGCTTATTTCCCCAAAAACCCTAAATGTGATTTGATAAAACCGACTATGAGATGTGATTATCCTCTCTTACTTAGCGTATGAATGTATTGTTTCGTATGTACAAGAACATACTTCAAAGTGTTGGCTTTAGACAAGTTATACTAGTTTTTTTTTTTCAAATCAATTCTTTGTATCAAGTTTGTCAAGATCGGGATGTTACTTAAGATTGTTTTACGTTTTGCAATATTGTGATCGTAAGATCGGATCGGATCGAAAGATCCTACCAAAATAAACTTATATTCAAATTTTCTTGCAAAATATTAGGTGTGAAGTATATATTATAACTTGATGTTGATTAAGATGCTGAAAGTGGAATTAACTTTAAGTTCTTAAGCATAAACCATGATTTTTGTTGTTTTAAACCATAAAAATTAAGAAGAAAACATTTTACCTAAAAACAAAAATCAGTTTGATCATATAAAACTAAAAACATAAGATCACAAAGGGCTTATTATAAGTGTATTATGTCTAATTCGAGATGAATTGATGAAATAGTGACGCTCAAAATGTCTTCTTGCAACTTGCGATGCTCGACTATATAATAAAGTAAAGAGGTGAGATCGGGATCATAATGTGGTTGGGATAGTGTTTCACTTGTAGGGTCTTAAAATCTTAAGATCTTAAATGTTGTCAATTTTTGAGACTCGGGCTAAGATTGATAATTCAAGTAAGATCAAGATCAACAACCATGCTTTGTATTATGTGGAAAAACATTAATATATAACATACTAGATTAAATATTGTCCTATTAAATTAAAACAACTTACAGAGATTAAAGTGGAATAACAACCTCATTTCTTAAACATTATACACAAATGTACCATAATCATGTATATATCAACTTGATCTAACCTCCTCGATTGCACCAACTAATTTATCAATCTTAGCCCCTGTAACCTCTTTTATAACCTTATTATCTTTGAGAATCTTGAAAGTAGGAACCACTTTTATTCCTAACTCTTTTGCCAATGCCTGTCATTCATCAACCAATAGAAGTTTTTTTTTCAAGAGTTTACCATGTCAAAAAAGCTACTGTGGATTTATGGGAGTTTTTTCATTTCAAAGCTTTTTCACATTGCTTGTAAATTTACAAGCTCAATGGACACAGTTTTTTTTCATACTTTTAATACATTTTATTCACTTTTTTTATAAATTGAGTGAAAAAGCTTATCTATAATTTATGCTTGTTAAGCTTTTTGGTATGATAAATAATGAGCATCAAAAAGCTTATTTTGGATCAGTTAAAAACTGACCCTGTTATCTTGATTGCAGTCAAGCTTTAGGAAGACCACATCAAGGTACTTCTCGGCTAGTTGTTTGTATTTTGGAGCAATCACCTTGCAAGGACCACACCTGTTTAAATTTCACGAAGAATTAAATCCACAAAATAACTTAATTTTGCAAGCAATCGAGTAAAAAAATCACTATGTTACACGATTCAATTGTATACATACAAAAGAGTGATGTTGAATTCAAACAACAAACTTCACAAAAAACGAAAGACCTGAAAATTTTTGCATAATTTCGACATAATGAGAACGAGACCTTAATTTTTGAAAGTTTAATTTACTGGATCTAGAGGATAAGATGATAAGAGTACATGTAATATAATTGTAGAACAGTAATTCAATTTTAGGAAAGAAAGAGTACGAATTTGAATTTGAATTACTAACCATTGAGTGTACATATCGAGAACGACCATCTTATCACCGGCGGCATTGACCAGAGGCCAAAACGTGTCTTGACTAACCTCCGTCACCTGGCCGACAACCACCGTGGGACCGGCGGTTTCCAAACTTGATCTCACCGTCATCGACGAGCTCAATCCTTTCCTGTTTCCGTTTTTCTTATTTGCAATCATCAGAGACGTAAACTGATGAATGTCTCCGGCGACGATGGATTGTTTTGCGAAACATGACGGCAATGAGCTAATTGATGACGATGTCGATGGAACTGGCCGGCAGATTTGATGAATTTGCAACGCCATTGTAGGCTTGGAGCAAGTGTGTGTAGTATCGGAGTGTGTGTGTGGGTGAGAAATGTGCAAGTATTTGAAAGCTTTGGAAGGAAAAGTTGATCGTACGATTGAGATGTGAAATGACGAAAATACCCTTGATATTGATTTGTTTGATGCGAATATCTTGAGGGCAATTCTGTGATGTTTTTCTTTGTGAGAAATTTCTTGTGGCTAAAATGCATCGTCAATAATGATATGCTAGATAGTAAATAGTATATTCTTAAAAATCAAGGGGTATACCGTATACGGGCATATGGGGACCGATTGCAAGGGAAAGCCCAAAAAGGAAAAAATATAAAATCATCAAAAGTGTCAACCCATTTGGCTCACAAGCCTCAATGCAACCAACCGAAAGAAAAATTAAAAAACAAATTAGTAATTAAATAAAATAATAATAATAATAATAATAATGTTATATATCTGATTAGGTTGTATATTAAGATTGGTTGATTGATGTATATATTAGGTTGTGTAGGTGGAAATAGTCTATTTTAAGTAACCTAATTATTTTCAAAAGAGTTAGGTGTTGTTTGTTTTTCTGAAGTCAAAATATCTGCAGTCTGCGGATCATATCTGCAAGTCTCTGTAGTAGAAGAGATGAACCAAACGTCTGCAGTCTGTAATAAGAAAATTGTTTGTTTTTTATCGTCTGCATGCTGCTGAAATAAAGTGAATTTTAAATAAAATGATTTTACAAACTTAAAATGATTTTTCAACACCAAAATTTGTAATAATAATAGTCATACAACACTGAAAATAAAATTCATGCCACTAAATTAGTCATACAATAAAAAAAATTGGTTTTACAATAACAATTTCATTTAAAATAATTCATTCCGTATTTTGCATCAACTGCTCAACACATCTCGTAACTGAGTCATATATTCACGGTCTGTTGTAGTACCATATGTTGGAACCTCGTCTTCATCATCATCAACGACCACATTGTTATTTCGAAACGAGACATTGGGTTCATCGTATCATGTGAAATACTCATCACTCAGTCCTTCTTTCTTTATAAAATTATGAAGCGCGAAACATGTCATGACAATGTTTATTTGTGTAACAAACGGGAATGGTTTCATTCTCTTCAATATAGGGAATCATGCTTTCAAAACACCAAAAGCACGCTCAATGATGTTCCGAAGTTTTACATGTCCATGGTTAAATTTTTCTTTATTGGTCAATGCACGTCTTTGACGAAAATCTCCAAGCCAATACCTCACATTACGATACGAGGCCATAAATCCTCGAATGTGTGCATACGCGGCATCACAAATATAATATTTATCTGTAAAAATGCAAAAACACTAATCAATTTTCAAACTAAGATAAAAATATTTAAAAAACTACAAACTTACCTGGTGGTGGAAACGGGAATGATGCTTGCGGATCGGCTACTGCTTCTGATAATATTCTCGAATCATGCGATACCCCTTCCCAACCGGCCACAACAAATGTAAAAATCATATTGAAGTCACAAATTGCCAATATGTTTTGGTAACAATCTCCATTTCCACTACTTCTATATAAATCTTGTTTCTTAGCAGGGACAACAGTATGTATCAAAGTGCCATCAAGTGCACCAACCGCTCCTTTGAAAACCCGTCGTAGCCTCCTATTATGTCCTGGAATGTTTGGATTCAGATTAAAAGAAGTTGGTACTATAACGTCTTGTGCGAAAAACATCATTTTATCCAACACTTCATAAAAAAAAATTATGAATTGTTTGCTTCGAGTGTTGAAATCTCCGCTTCATAATCACGTAATGTTGATTATGGCCGATCATCATCAAAAACATAGCCATATTTACCTCAACCGATACATGTTTGTTGTCCTTTAATGAGTAATTTACTCTAAAATGAGCACATAGTCGTACAAAAGAGTCACGGGACATACATAGTACTTCAACACATTGCAAACATGTTCGTCTTCAGTGGAGATCGGAGAAGAAGAAAAAGGTGGCACGGTCGGAGGTCTGCACGGTGGGCGGCAGGTCTGATGGGTATGCGGCTGTGCTGCTGGAGCGAGGCTAGAGGTGTCGAGGGAGAGCTTCGTTAGAGCGTGGGAAGTTGAAAGAAGGAGGCGCTGATAATAGATGGAGGCATTTTTTTAAGGTTAAAGTGTTTCGCAGACCTTAGAAGTGGCTAGCCCATGTCTGTGTGGTGAAGACCTCGCGCAGACGTTTTTAGATCTGCTCACTTCGAAAAAAACAAACATACTGCGAGGATGTATGTATGCACATGGTCCGTGTGGCGCAAACAAAAGTGATTTCACAGATCTGCAGCAAAAAAATAAACACCACCTTAGTGTATGCTCTGCCAACCCCACTTCTTCGATTTCGGAGCATTCTACGTATACGAATGACCTAGGAATAACTTCCATTTTAAAAATAAAAAAGGAAATGGAAATGAGAATGAAATTTAAAGAGTAAAATGGAATGGAATTGAAAAGAATATGTGTGAATGAAATGATATGAAGATGGTATTTATAATAGTATAAACGGAAAAAAAAAAGGAAAAAAATGTAACCGTTGGAGCGGGTTTCACAACCTGCATTGTGACAACCGTCAAAATTCGAGTCGGTTCTAGATTTGAATAAACTTAGTTGCACATATACGCACGA